AAGTTGAACATTTTCGCGACTTGACGCTCGGTCACCGGTGCCTACGCGCGGACAGTCGAGCGGTCACCGAATGAGTCGCACTGATATATACAAGACATAGACAATGACCATCTCTTTCTTTAACAACTCCCGCGCCCCAAAAGCAGGACCAAAAAGAAATTCGCGTCGAATAAACAATGACTGCTCTACTGATGAGACTGTGCGCTGTAGAGGGGGGAAATCCTTTGAGCTTTGATCATTGTAGAGGACGAGAGGACGAACCTAACACTCCAGCTCAGCACTCCGCTTTCCTCCAATCCCGATAGTTGAGCTGCAAGGGTGGGTAGGAGTTTATACTCATCCGACTCGAGTATAGGCCCGAACGCCATATTGAAAATAAGGCCTGGGTCGAAACGACCAGTCACGGCGCGGGAAGTTACGAATTGGAGGAGTGCCGTGTCGCTGAACTTCATAGCGGACGTGAACTGAACGGAGCTGAGACGGGGAACTAGGTTGGTCTCGTCCGTCCTCCAGTTGAGAGAATGGAGGAGGATATCAGTCATTAGCGCACGGTTTTTACAGTCTGAGATGTGCAACTCCTCCAATAACGGTAAAACTGCGAGGCAGCTTATCAACTCCTTGTCCTCGATTAACGCGAAGATCGACAGCATTGTCAGGCTGTGGTGGAAAGACGATCGCGCCGCAAGGTCAAGAAACCGCTGTTGGCTCCATTCGGGGACGTCTTCGGTGGTTCGACCCGAAAAGCTGAGGCGGCGGAGGCCGGGCAGGGTGACGCGATCGAGGAAGATCTTCAAAAGTGCGGACATCCGGTACTCGCGACCGCGGAGGAGCGCCACAGTCAACGACGATACATGGGCAATTATGGGTGGCAGATCGAATGGGAGTATGAGGATGGAAGGATCGAGCGAAATGTGGGAAACCGTGTCGGGTGACAGCTGGGGCAGCATCGCCAGGGTTAAATGGTTCGAATCCAGATTGTCGTACGTCAGCTTGCTGAGAGACTCCCAGGGAAGTTTCGGAAGTTTCGGCGGCCATCCAGACAAGGAGACCTCCCTGAGTCGCTGTGCAATTTCAAAAACGTCATCCGCGTAGGGATAATTAGCGTCCGTGGAGCTCACGAGCGAAAGAACCCGTAACAACGGCATCTTGCCCCTCGCACCGGCGAGATATGTGAAGGCCTTTGGTTCAACCCAGAGACGGAGCTTTTCCCATCGATGGGAATGCTTCCCGATGAGATCGAAGATCTGCTGTTGTACTCGTCGCGGGTGGGTGGAATCGACGGCCACATCGAGGGTGAGAGGATGGTTTCCGCTGCGTTCCAGCCCCACCTCAAGGAGGCTCAAGAGGACCGCATAGGACGCAGAGCACTCATCCCAAAAACAGGTGTCAAAGGCCACGGTGGACCATAGCTTTGGAGTAGTCATGGTCACCTCGTGCCATCGAGAGCACACCTTCGGGAGAAACTTGAATGAGAAGGCATTTACGCAACGCGGAGAAGCCCACCTGAGACAGGTTCAGAAGATACTTTCTGGCTATTTGATCCAACTCTGCTGCCGGCGTGGTGGGGTGCGCCGTCGGCGCGCACAAGCCAAAGATTTCGGCCAACAATTCTGTCGGAAGACGGCGGACAGGCGAGAAAACGCTGAGGCAGCCCTCCCTGAACCACTTCAGCGAGCGATGAGTCTCTCGAAGTCTCTGTATCTCGATCTCGTAGCGCTCAAGCTCGGGCGCAGATTTTTCGATGAAGTCACGAAGGCTCAGGGCTGCGGACGCAGATGGCAACGAGTGGGAGCGGAGGAGAGCGCGAAGGTGAGTGAATTCCGAGGCATCGGGGAGAATATGGGATCGTTCGAAGCCACTCGGATTCGATTCTCGTGGCGACATGGTGGTCGGTGGCAAGGAGTGACGACTTGTGACAACAATGATCTCCGAATGCTTGCCGAGTTACATATGTCGGCACGTCGGCATTTGCGGCATTCAGCATAACTGCGACTTCGCCACGAAAACGACGATAGAGTCTCGAAGCTGCGGAGCAACGGCAATCCTCCTGGGATTTTGGCGACTGGTTACAGGGAGGATCGCGGGAGAAAGCATCAGGGATCGACCGCAATGTAAAATCAAGCCAGAACTCACCCAAAGCTAATGCTCTTTCCTTCTGAGCCGTATTCCACTGGCTGTCCACGAGGTAGAGATATGCCACGCCATCCGAGCCTCGTCGCTCACAAAACGCGAACACTGACGCCGTAAAGGTTCGAATTGGGATCACCATGATCCTGGGGTGAATTCCGAGTGAGAAGGATGAACGTTCGAGTACCCTATAATCTCCTCGTGGCCTTTCGTAGACCAAAACTGAACGTGGTTTCGGCCGAGACTTGATGGTGACAACAAAAGTAACTTTTGCAAACTAACTTGCCCTGCCAAAACTAATTTACCTTAACTTTTGGCTGTTTAAGTTAGTTCGGCAGTAAAGTACAGGGAAAGTACAAGTTTTTGATCCCATCTGATCCTATAAGTTACTTTGTCTGATCTAACTTGGCAGGCAAGTTCGGGTAAAGTAACTTCGGCGCACGTTAACTTGACGTCCTGCATGTCGTGAACTGTACTCCTGGGTAATTGGTGGACTTGCTGATGCCTGTAACCACCCATTTACCATCCTCCATCCCTGCTGACATCGGTTGATTGTCTCTACCCATCCCGGTAAGCGGGCCTTAAATCAAGTAGCGAGGAATGTCCAAAGGGATGGATAAAAATGTAGGATCTTGATATTTGTTCGACAATTCAAGGATGGGTGAGGCGTGGGTTGCCGCTTGACCGACATAAATCACAAGCTGAGTTCATCTGGGTTAGTTAGACTCCCCATTCCACAGGGCAAGACTTAGATGCTCTTGAACATCAGCAAAGTCCTACTTGGTCACAAAATCAGTAAGTGTCGGTGCTTTAGCAAGGTGAACAGCAACGTAGACGCAGTGTTGAATCCGAAATTGGACCACGCCGAGGCGGCCGATCGAATTCCCACGGTTGGCTTTTGACTTCCCCTACAGTCTCACTCGCACATCCCCTCCCGTATTCTGCACGGCTTCCACCTTCTGATCTTCGAATTATTGGGAGCCGAAACTTGTGCATAGCTAAATGAGTATGGGCTTCCGATGGGGTTTTCCGTATGGACTGACTGACCCGGCCAATTCGAGGCTATAGTACCCCACAACAGTGAGTCTGGGGTTGAACACCGGACAAGGCTAATGAGTCTCCTTCGTCACTTTCAGTGACTGTAGTGCTCACCTTCGCCCACTTTGCTATCTACGCAATGCCTGTGCATGCAACCACGATGCCGCCGTTACATTGAGTTGAGTTCTGATTTTCAGCACAAATGTCAGGAATGACTCAAAATCTCACATTCAGCAGACATATGTGGCCTATAATTATCCTAACATCCACCGCCGGTACTTCAACCAGCTGCGCGGAAGGCGGAAGACAATATAAGCCCACAACCTGCGGAGGAAGAGTCGTAAGACCACAGTTAGGGTCCAAGGATTGGTTGTGCATCGACTGCGAGAGGGACTGGGTGCTTCCGAAGGGGGCGCAGCATGGCCGTGGCGGAGTTCGAAATAAGTTAGTTTCTCTATGCGTGGGAAAACTCAAGTTAACGTTCGGCACGTATGCCGACGCGGGCAAGTAAAGTTAAAGTTACTTTCAATAAGTTACTTTTTACGCACTCAGACTTGAATTATGTTCTGCTTCCGAACCCGGTGTTCATGTATCATGTTGTTGAAACTTTTTCGAGTCAAGATTGAACGCAACATGCTTGAGGCCTTAACGAATGTTTTGTGTTCTTGGGAAGAGAAATAATTGATTCAAGGCTCAACGTATCCAAAAGACTCAGGAAATGACACCCGAGCTCTGCAGGCGTCCAATCATCTCACTACTGACAGCTTATATGGACCCCAATCCCGACTCGAAGTTTTCCTTGCCCAATATAAGTATAACACATACATAGTAACATTTTAGTCTCTCCGAGTCTTGACGGCTCTCCCTCGCCAAAAGTGTAAACAAGTACACCACATCCGAGTTATTTATCCTCTGCGACGTTAATAGCCAAGTAATATTTTCAACCAAGCTTTGATGAACCATGTTCGGGTGCATCGAGTATGAATGAGGTGTGCAGAGTTATGGTTAGGTGAGGCATACGAAGACTTGAGCTTGCAGCAATTTCCTGGACGGCCCCGGTAACTATTGGACTCCAGAGACAGCAAAAAACTGACTAGCTTCACGCCTGCTCACTCGAACGCTGGGAGTCGAACCCAGATCCCGCAAATTAGCACATTCAGCCCTGGATAATGGGAGCGGGTGCGCGCCGTGCACGACGTTCGAGATATTTACTGAGCTCAAGTTGGTGCTGTCAATAGGCAGTAGTGAGGGATTTCTCTAAACCAGGGCAATTGAGCCGTTGGAACTTGACATCCGCCGGTGGATCCGGATTACGGAGCTGGGTTGACAGTGCGGTATCAGCCGGCTTCTGTATCATGCGTGTGCGAGTTGATGGAGTGCGCCGGGGGTCTCATCTTGGAAGGCATCTATCTACTTGGTTGTGCGCTTGTAGAGCACACGGGAGGCGCCGGTGAGTAGCAATAGCAAAATTGGATATCCCCTGGATCCGCCGTCATTCAAGCGCTGGGAGTCGAACCCAGATCCCGCAAATTAGCACGGTCAGCCGTGGATTTGGGAGCGGGTGCGCGCCGTGCACGACGTTCGAGATATTTCCTGAGCTCCAGCTGGGGCTGTCAATAGGCAGTAGCGAGGGAATTTTCTTTCAACCAAGGCATTTGATGAACCGTGCGAAACTGTGGTAAGTACATCAGTATGTCCGGTTGCATCCGGATTTCGTTTCGAAGACTCGGACTGGGAGGACTTTGTATCGTGATGATACCAGTTGGCGAAGGGCCCGAGGATTACTACTAGAAGCCGAGCCTGGGCAAAAAATGTAACTGCTCCCACATTCTTAGCTCGAACGCTGGGAGTCGAACCCAGGAGTCCCGCGGTCCGCAAGAGAGAACAAATTCTATCGGGAGCGGGTGTGCGCCGTGCACGACATCCGAATTATTCACTGTATCTCGGATGTCGATAGACAACAACCGCATTTCTGGGTACTTTACCTGGAATTTATACAACTCGACGGTGGAAAGTTGATGAACCGTGGAAAACCTACTGGCTGGGTTTGAACTTCAGAGATCGAAGGACTTCCAAACATCTGTGTCGCAGAGCACCCGGTGAGAAGGGCAAAAAGCGAACGACCCGTCTGTTTCATTCGGACGCTGGGAGTCGAACCCAGGAATCCCGCAGTCCAGCGACGAAAAGAACTTTATAGGGAGCGGGTGTGCACCGTGCACGACGTCCGATTACTTTCCTGTATCCTTGATGTCGATAGCCAACGGTACAGAATCTACACAACCTTGAAGCTTGAAGGCACCGTTTGATGAACTGGAAACCTACCGGTTGGGTTTGAACTTCGCACATCGAAGGACTTGCAGACATAGGCGTTGCAGAGCACAGGGTGAGGAGGGCAAGAAGCTAAAACCAAACATCTGTTCCATTCGGATGCTGGGAGTCGAACCCAGAGCCCCGCGGTCCACAAAGTTCAAACGAGTGGATGTATAGGGAGCGGGTGTGCGCCGTGCACGACGTCCGAGTTTTTAACTGTGTCTGGGATGTCAATAGACAACCACATTTGTGGGTACTTTACCTGGAACTTATACAACTCGACGGCAGTTTGAAACCGTAGGAAACCTACCGGTTCGGTTTGAATTTCAGTGATCGACCGAGACATCGAAGGCAAAAAGGCGGTGGCTAGAACGAACTCCGGCTCGATACTGGTGGCGGTTGGGAATACCAGATACCAGATACCAGCGGAGTTTGAATTCAGTAAGCCATGCTTTTGATGTGCACGAGTTCGATTCCGAGCGAAATCCTTCTCATTTGCACGCGGGAATATATTTGAGATCCCTTCGTTGAGACGCCACTGTGAGGGGGGAGCTTCAGAATCCGGATGATAGTGATGTCTCTATAGGCTGTGGTCAATTCGGGCTATATAGGCGCAACGGTGGGTGTGGTTCAAAATTTTTATATGGTGTTGTATGAATCTTGGCCTCAACCAAAAGATCAGTGGGAGAGTGTAGCAGGCTTGAATCAACATGGTTTCTTACACACAGATTTTGCACCTCTGCTGAGAACCAGCACTCCCATCAACACAAAACACACAGCGATACTGAACTCAACAGTTCAACCCTCTGGTTAAAGGTAAGCCATCAAGAATCACAAGACACTCACTTGTCTACAGACACAAGGGAGGTCCCAGAGGGATACCGGCAGCTCAATCCAGCACATCTCAAATCAAGCCTGTGCGAATATCTTTCAACAGTGGGAAACTCTCAAAGTTGGGAAAGTCACCGCCGCCGGCAGGCCAAATTTTGAAGCGAAAATGGTCAGGAATGCAGGGCATTCACTACAGGAAACCAATGCCCAAAATGGAGACATGATTGAAACGAGCGCGGCGCCGCAGGAAGGAACGAGAGGAGCCGGCTTCAAAAAGGCGGGTTGCCAACTGTTCCGAGATCAAACTCCGCCCGGAACCAGCAGAGTGGTATCCTGTTGGTATCCCATTTTAGTGTTTTCCCTCCGTCCTCCTGGCGGATACTAATTCTGAGTAGGTAGAAAATTTTGAAATAAATCGTTGAGGGGGGTCCAAATTTTTCAGGGGAAGTGAACCGGTTTTTGAACATGGACAAGGTGAAATGGTGGTATCCAGAATACCATACCGAGATCACTCGGATGATTGCCAATCTCTCCTCTTTTTATTGCTCTTTATTATCTTTATTTGTTTAATTTACCCCACCGCCATTAGTATCGAGCCAGAACTCCTACTCGAACGCTGGGAGTCGAACCCAGGAGGCCCGCGGTCCAGTGCAGAGAAAAATTACTATAGGGGGCGGGTATGCACCGTGCACGACGTCCGATTTCTTCACTGTATTACGGATGTCGATAGACCACCAACAACATTTGTACTTGCATACCGAGAATTGATATAACTCGAAAGTGGTTTGATGAACCGTGGGAAACCTACTGGTTGGATTTGAATTTTGGAGACCGAACGATTTGCGGACATCGGTATCGCAGAGCACAGGGTGAGGATGGCAAAAAGCTCAAGTAAAGATCACCTTCTGTACTATTCGGACGCTGGGAGTCAGACTCAGAGCCCGCGGTCCACAAATAACAAACGAGTGGATGTATAGGGAGCGGGTGTGCACCGTGCACGACGTGCGATCCGTACCCCCCGATTGTATGTAGCCAATACGTACCAGCAATCCTGTCAAGTTTCAACTGGAGTGGTAGATGAACCGTGTCGGTACATAACATCCTTCGAGTCCACCTTTTCCGAATGCCTGCCAGAGACGCTTGTTTCTCGTATAAAGTGTGAGATTTTAGCAAGGACTTGCGGATTGTTGAAAAACAAGACGAAAATATCAAGTCCAGCCTCAACATACCCTTACTCGAACGCTGGGAGTCGAACCCAGGAATCCCGCAGTCCAATGAAGAGAACATTGTATTGGGAGCGGGTGTGCGCCGTGCACGACGTTCGGACTCTCTAATCAGCTGTGGAATTCGGTTGGTAAGAAACAATTCTCAATCAATGTCTTTGAATCCTGAGAAACTGAATGTGCTCAGTTGCATCCGAATTTCGTTTGTTTCGAAGACTCGGACGTGTGGAAATGCCAATCGAAGGACCCGCAAAGAGCTCTCGGGACCCGAGTAGAAAAAAAAAGAAACAGGTCTCCGGCGTACTCGAACGCTGGGAGTCGAACCCAGGAATCCCGCGTTCATCGAAGAGAACAAATCCTATCGGGAGCGGGCGTGCGCCGTGCACGACGTCCGATTTGTTCACTCTATTTTGGATGTCCATAGCCATAGACCATGAATAACATTTTTACTTACAGTACTTACCTAGAATTTATACGTGAAGCGCCGTTTGATGAACCGTGGGAAACCGAGGTCGGTTACCGGTTGTATGCGGTTTGTGCATCATGCACGACGTCCGATTCGTTAACTTACATAGTGACCGTCCTTCGTCCTTGTGTTATGTACATTTCCCCTTGGACGACCGCAATTGAATGAAACTCGGACACCGGTTGAGTTAACGGCGGGGTGTGAAACGCGGGGTGGGATAATCATTAATCCCTAATCCCACGGTTGGCAGCGGGCATCGAATCAGCGCCTCCGGGCGCCTAACCTTTTTGATTTTGACTCAACTTGGGAGCTGATCTTCTTCCGTCCATTTAGGCGTTGCGTTCGCACTTATCCTCTTCGGGATCTCTTGGAGCATGCACCGCATCGATCTGCGCCTCTAAATGAACGGATATCGGGACGATGTTGGGACGGACGGATATAGCCCCAGGCGGATTTGTATCGATGTCTCCATCAGCAACAGCGGCGATTAGATACGTAGTTTTGGGGATTGTTTGATTGGCATGGAATGCAGGGCTTACGGGAGGGCCGCAGGCTCAGGGATGCGTGGGGAGCGCGTGGGTCGAGGGTATCGATGAGGAATAATGGCGGATTCAATCCTATATGGCTAGCAGGATCCGATATGATTGCGAGAACGTGGTAGTGGCGAGGCGTGGCGTCGATGGTGAGGGAGAGTCGTTTTATTGGACGCGTCATTCATTCATTCAAATTCACCGGGAGCCCAGCGGGGAAACGTTAGGGTTGCGGGCAACTTGAACTGAGTCAGGCACGACGGAGATGTCACGGCGATAAGTACGGGGGCAGTGACTGGCAGTGACTGGGCGTCGTCGCAAGAGCAATAGTGTGGCCACTGACTCGATCCAGGCAAAAAACAAGGGAGAGTAGAAGGGTGTACACAAAAGGACAAGGGTTGAACCGAAAACGGCAAGGAAATCCTGAATTGCCACCGCGGATCATCAAGCGAACCCAAACACGTGGTGGGATGATGGCGGCCGTTATAAAATTTTGTGTCCCCACCATCCATGTCCCTTCTCCCCCCAACCCCCCGCATCCTCCACCACCGTTCTACGCGCGGAATCCCCACCCAACCGTAATCCTTCTCGAAATTAGGCTTCTTACACGCTAGGCGACGGCTGGGGGGCTTCGAAATGACGGAATACGACTTCAGCCAGCAGGCGTTCGAAGAACATTTGGTGCGACAGGAGCGTATACGCACCTGGAGCCAAAACGCCAGCCGCGCTCCTCAAAAAAACCCCTTCACCCCCGCTACGCCCGCCGACCCCCAACCCATCCCCCTACCCGACTCCAAACACCACCACCGCCGTTCGCGCTCGACGGATCACGACAAAGACAAGAAGCCGCGCAAGAGCTCGGGCTCGCGCTCGCGGAAGCGCAGCCTTTCGCCGCCGCCGCCTCTTCCGCCACTACCCCCCCCAGAGCGCAACCTGCGCAGTCGCAGCATGGCGCCGCCACCCACGCGCCCGCGCACGGCGCCACCGCGGGGCGACGTCTACGGCGTCCAAGGGCCCGGGCCTAGTCCGCTCTTCTACGCGCCACCAGGCCAACAGCAACCCCAGTATTACGCGCCAGGAGCCGCGTATTACGCCGTTGCCTCCCCTCCGCTGCCGCCGCCACCCGTCCCGCCGCGCCCACAGCACAGCCGCTCGCGGTCGAACTCGTACGCCACGGCGGCGCCGCAGCCGCTGCGGACGTATTCCGGCGGCGCGCCGCCGTCGCCTGTGCGCGGGAACACGTACCCGTACGCTACCGCGCCGGGGCAGAAGGGGTACGTGTTCCACAGTGTGCCGCCACTGCCACTTGCGAGTCCGGGGGGGCCGTCGTCGCCGCTGATAGCGCCCGTGTTCCCGGAGAACGCGCTGGGCCCGCAAAAGCCCGTGCCGCTGCTCAAGCGCGTGTTTGGGTTTGGGAAGGGTAATACGAGGGCGAGGAGTAATAGTCATAGTGGGGGCGGCGGCGATGGGAAGTGGTGATGGATGTCACGGCGTGCGTATTTGTTTGTTTTTTCAACTCGCTATCAACCAATTCCACGTCGCATGCTGCCCCGCTGTCTACTCTATCATACTAATCCCCACCTACTCACTCAACTCAGTCCCTCCCAACCCAAGCAACTCGCACATGTACCTATCTATCATTCATTACCGATCTCCAGTCCACACTGTATCTATCTATCTATCTGCTCTCCACCCTGCTGAATTCACAACCAATTGTACTTACCTTAGCTTACTTACCTTCAACCTCAATCCAATGGATCCTTCATTCATCCAAGATCGGATATTCACATGTCAATTGTAAGTGGATGCATGGGAAGAAGAAGGGCCTGTCGGACGCCGCGCACCAACGGTGGGGGTTCGATTCCCTCAGGGCTTATGATATAAAACCGGATATTTTTTTCCAGAGCGGCGGAAAGACGACTGAGAATACCGTACGCACCGGGGTCAAGAGCTACGCTAGGAAATTGAACACGTTTTCCCGGCGCCGTCTCGAAGCGACTCCGCCTGCCTCCTGTAAAAGAAAAGAAAAGTTATACAGGAGTGTGCAAATCGAACGCCGGGAGTCGAACCCGAACCTACTAGTCGCAGTAGCATTGACTTGATCGATTAAGTCAACCACGGTCGCTGGAAATTTCGGGAGTCGGAGGGCCCAGGTGAGCTTGATTTCTGCGCGTCAAAGTAAAATAATGTTGAAAGAGGACTGTATTTGAACGCCGGGAATCGAACCCGAACCCAACGAGGGCGGCCGGAGTTGGCGCGCGTTATCACGTCAACGACGTTCGCTTTCAGCGTGTCTTACACAGAAACACCTGGGCGGAGGTGCCTGTCCCACTCCGCACTCCGCATTGACAAAAAGACTTGTGCAATCTATTCGAACGCCAGGCTTCGAACCCGACACTTAACCAAAGGTAACTGGAGTTCAAGCCTTCAAGACGCGCCCACCATGTTCGCTTTCGGTACTGTACTGGTGCAAGAGATTCAGTACATTGCATAGCTCAAGTTGAGAAAGTGACATGAGTTGGTCCCCGAGTCTTTGTTCTCAGCGAGCTGAGACCTTGATGGTGGTGGACACTTCAACCATGAGAATAGGCTTCCCTAGGAAGAATGTGACTACTTATGTCTAGAAGAATTCCACTTACAATTGTCGGGAAAATCCCATTCGGCTTTAATCGGCGTTGAACCGGTTCCAAGCTGCTCAATGCCGTTGCATGCTGAGCGGCGTTTTTCCGACAATATGAGCACACCTTCAAGTTGATTGATGGAAAAACTCTCATACGGCTCCTTACTCCCTCTATTCAATGCCTCACTCATTCTAATGTCACAGATCTAAATAGTAAACACACATGTTGAAGAAAGGGTCTGTCGGACGGCGCGCACGACCTGTATGTATGGAGTCGTAAGTGTGCGTGGGGGTTCGATTCCCTTAGGGCCCATGACAAGGTCGGTGGAGTTTTTTTTTTTGCTAGGCCACGGCGATGGCCGAAAGAGGACCAAGGATGATGTACGCACCAAGGTCGAGACGGAAAGACTAATGGCCACGACGGTTTAGATTCACGCTAGAAAGTGAACATGCTTTTTTAGCGCCGGCGCATCATGAAGCGACTCCACCAGCCTACGGGAAAAAAAGCCGTATACGCTCACGCAATCGCCCAAATCGAACGCCGGGAATCGAACCCGAACCCACTGCTTGCAGAGGCGCCTTCAATGAGTTGGTTGACTTCCATAATCAACCACGGTCGCTTTTGGTACTTAGTGGAGATTCAGAGTGGCCAGGTGCTCGAGTGCGAGCTTGCGTCGATGTGAAAAAAACATCTAGAGCAACAAATACCATTTGAACGCCGGGAATCGAACCCAACCGAGAGTCCTTGGCACAAGTCGACGCGTCGACGCGTTAAGCAACCACGTCCCCTTTCAGCGTGTCTTACTTACACATAAACTCTGGGTGGAGAGTAGTGCTTGGGCGTGAGTACCCCCTACGTGAGTCTCACAGGGACTTAAACATAAATAGGGCCGTAATAGGTGACGGACGGACGCCTGCCGTCCGGTTGACTTCCAAAAGGTTACCAAGAACTAATTCGAACGCCGGGAGTCGACCCCGAATCGGGTCAGCAACTTTACGCAAGTAACCAGCTTGCTTGACCCTAGTTGACGCGTTGACGTATCAACTACGTTCGCTTTCAGTGTTTGGGGTCAATTTAACTAGGAGGTGGTACTCGCCTGTCTTGAGGGACAGATATCGAAGGATAGTACAGACAAACGTGGTTCAAGTTAGGTTGCTGTGGGTGAGTGAGGTTGACGCGGAAAGCGATATCGATGAATGTTTGAAGGCTGAACCACAAGAAGTCGGAAGAAGTGATCGGTTCCGGACAAAAAGTCGAAAGAAGTGATGGGACGGACATTCAAACGCCGGGGTCGAACCCGGATCCATGGAACTGTGTGGACTAGGCGACTCCGCGTCGACCACGTTCGCTGCGTCAGGGAGATTCGGAATACATACATAAGTACTTACCTGCGAGCTTAGCTTAGCTTCGTCGAATCTCCGACAAACCATGTACAACGAGGCCGACAAAGGCAACGAGTCAGGCTCAGTAGTCTCCTGCGAGTTGCAGTTACAGTTACTGGGTGCCGGGTTCGATTCCCGCCGCCCAGATGGGGACCGGAGGCCGAATCACATTTTTTTTTTGCATCGGCCTAGACTTAGTCACCACTCATAAAGCTAAGCTAAGCTGCGAGTTACAGTCCTTCGATTACCAGGCTCTAGATAATAGGTAAGTAGTAAGTATTACAGGGGGCGCACAGAAAGCGAATGTGGTTCAAGGTGATGTGTCAACTAACTCGGCCGCCCCATGGGCCATGCTGGGTTCGGCGTTCAGAGAGACCTGGCTGCATGTAGTCTAAA